CAACAGAAAACCTTCTGTCAATTATTCTGTCTGCTCACTTCACCAAACATAGGATCTGAGATTTATGTTTAATGTCCAGAAATCAGTAAAGTTTCAGACCATTTTTAAACATAATAACACCAATTTAAAATACATTAAATTACTCAGTGCACTGTGAGTATGATGCTGACTGCAGGAGAAAGGATTCCTTCTGCTTCGTTATTGAATCGCTCACGCTTAAGACTGGAGTGAACCATACATGTAACCCCCACCTCCAAGGAGACGCTTTAAACAAATGGTTCGTAAACACTTGGAATATCAAAAAGGGAGATTTTTGTCACTTACCTTTGACTGTGAATGTGAATGAGAGGCTAAATGTCTGCATGTGGTTCTCTGACCTTTTGTGGCTCATCTGCTGACTTGGTTCAGGTGAGTTCAGGTTGTGTGATGCAGTGGTATCAATAATGGAAGAAAGGCAACCCCCTCCCTGTGGCTGCTATGTGGGTCAGAGGAGGCTCTTGGTGGATGGGAGAGATTGATGAAGAGCACCAGGGAGAGTGTCGGAGTGCCTACCTCACAGCGGTGCAAACCGAGCCGCTCCCCCTGCACTTGTTCCAAGGCCCCCCTCCTGAGCTGCACCGCCTGGCGCTCTTTAAATGACCTTCAAATTAGCCTTATTTTTCAGGGCCCCAAACCCTTCAGGGTCCTTCCTGGAAGGATGGCGGGTCTCCTTCTCTACTCTCTTTGTCTGCTTTTCCTTTTGTTATCCTCCTGTTGACGACAGATGGAGCAGAAAACGGCAGAGAAGTAGAGTCGGTATAGCAAAGGTGACTGAGTTTCACTCCTGTTGTGTCTCTGATGTAATCAGACAAGTGAGCTGTTATGTGTACCCGATTATGCAATAACACATACACACATGCGCACAATTTTTTTACCCTTTCATTACACCTACACTACAAACTGTTTCTTTGTCACACATCCTCATCTCAGCATCTGCAGACAATGATACATATGGTGTTTTGAGATGTTTGTGTGTGCGATGGTGGATTTGGAGTCGCAGTGGGATTCTTCTTCCACTACCTCACAGAACACACTCTGTCAAGCAGCCATCCATCACTACAGCTGGGGTTTGTGTACACACAGCAGGTCATGCTGGTCTTCTGTCCAGACCTGACGCAGAGCTCTTGATTATCCATTTGCATTAGGAGAAACACACTTCTCTAATGGAACTAAATGACTCAGACGGCTGCAATTTGTAAGGCTATGCTTTGCCTTTGAAAAAGCTGCCATGGTGTGATTTCTGAACTTTTTCAGCAATTTTCAGGGTGATTTGCTCACAATTTAGGTTTATTATGGTAAGACAAATTCCCTAATCTCATCTCACTACACCTGTGATGAAATATGAGGAGTTGAACAAGCTCCTCTCAGACTCACCTCCTCAATCAAAAGCAATCTACAGCAAATTATACAAACAAACACTTGTAATCATCCAAGCTGTGAAGTTGCGAGCTGATGCCTAACTGATGTTTTAAAAATGTACCTGTTCGCCGCGTGCACGGTGTAGCACAGCAGCCTTAAAGGTGACCTTATACAGTACAGGCATATGTTGCACCCTTTTGGGAAAAGCTTTGACTTTTGTTTCATTTTTATTACACTGGGGGTGAAGCCTACCCCCAAGAAGACAACGCACCTCCACGCTGTACTGGCATTATAAATTTTATTTGCGCAAGTAGCAATTTGTCATGGAAAGCTTTTTAACATCCTATCCTGTTTGAACTGACCTTGGGCGGAATAATACACGTAAACTTTTAACTTGCCAAGTGAAGGTAATGTATTGGCCGTACAACAATTATGCACTCATCAGAAAGCTCTTTGTACAAAAAAGAAGAGGCATCCCTTTTCATGATAAATTACTGATAAGATAAATAGGCAGAAAAAAAGTCAGATCAAGATTCAAAGCCGTGTTTTTTTTCTCCCCCCAGGTTCCCCGTTGTTGTTTGACACTTTGCCAAACATTTGGAGTTAATTCTCCAGCTATCGTGATGGAAAATCGGCAGATGGAATTTAAACTCGCAGGCAGCAAGAGAGAGAGAGAGAGAGAGAGCAACATGAAGGGGAATCAAGTTGGAAAACATAATAAGTCATCGTGTTAGCTGCGGAGTGAAAGAGATGGTGTGAAAATAGGCAAGAGGACAACCAGAGGTGGCGCATGACTGATGGCTGGGTAGGATGGGGGCTTGTTGCTCCAGAAGGGCAAACCTGACCTGATTGATTGGGTAGTATTTCAGAGAGGGCCCCCATGCCCATTTGCTTATAATGCTGGAATGCTTTGGTAGCATTTTGTAGAGGTAGAAAAGACATAATGAACAGGAGCCGGTGTTAGATGAAAAATTATTTAGAGCAGTATGAGGAGAATCACACCATGGGAGGACATGATGGTTTGTAATATTTAGGCAGAATGGGTGCTGTTTAACTCTTTAATACTGATTGTTATGTTCATCTTTTGTTTGTCAGGAAAAAAACGATGCAGATGAGAAAATTCAATGGTTTTATTCCTGTAATTTTGGTACTTTTGTGGATATAACTCAAATATGGTAAATGTACAAATAGCAATAGACAGCAGAAATAAAATCTCAAAGCATGTATATCAAAACTAGCTGGATCAATGTGCACATCAACAAGATTAGCTGCTTAGACAGGGCGATGCTTAAATTGTATGTGCAATAGCAGTGCTAATATGCTTATATTTAATGTTTACCGTAGTCATCTTCTTGGTTGTCATTTGTTTGTTGGTGCTAAAACAGTGTCGCTGGCGTTGTCCAACAAAATTTTAAACCGACTGAAATTTCCATGATTGTGCTTCCAGGAGACAAATAAAGGATCAAAGTTTATGCAGTTTGAACTGAATTGTAGTGAATGTGTTGAATGAATGCTAGCGGTGCAAGAAATAAACTCAAGGGATCTCCAAAGTGATTCCTCCTCCGGGTACAATGAATATCAAATATAGCAATCCGTTTTAACCAAACTGATTCCCCGCCAGGCCAAACACACACAGACAGATCAACAGTGCAGTACCTGGACTAAAGACCACAATATTTGGATTATTAAGCTATATTTCTCTTGTCTACTTAATTTTTTCTAGCAGCACTCCTTTACTACAGTATTATAATGAGAGGCTCTGTGTACTTTGAGGGTTTTATTCCATTAACTTCATATCTGGTCTCCACTGTCCCTCTTAACTAGCGTATGGCTCCGTTCCATGAACTACAACTGAAAGAAACACTTTGGTTTGGAATGTGCTTCACTGAAGAGCTTTTCTTCATCTGGATAGTGGGATTGCTGTTTCCCGACTGTCTAAAATCTATTCTGAGAGGTTATTACAGAGAGAGGGATATCATGCTGCATTATCCACAGACATAGTAAAAAAACAATCATGGAAATGTACTGAGCACTTTGTAAGAACACGACCAGCTGTTTGGCCTTTTTAAAGGAGGAAAGAGGATACATGCTGCATCCACGTTGCACTTTTCCTCTGCTTTTGCCTCTTTGAACCTACTTCAAACATTAGTCAGTGTGTGTTTAGTGTCATGCCAGCCATGTGGATGGCATATGCTAACATAGTAAATGGGCTGGCTGGTTATAAGTGTGTGTGGTGACCAGTAGCTCTTACTTATGTCCTTGAGCTGTAACTTTGATGTGAGCTGGTGGATGCCAGTGGTTGGAAAGGTGATGGCCGAGGTGCATGTGTGTGTATGGAAACAATTCAGATGCAAGCAGTGTACAACAGTAGCCACATGAAAGGCCCCTTTGTGGGGCTCTGCTACCTTACAGATGGTCAGCTTCCCTCGTCCATTAAATAATAACAGTACTCCATGTCTCCCCGGGCCAGATGTGCGGAATGGGTATGATGCGAAATGGAAACAAATCATCCGGGCTTTACTCTTTAATTGAGCACCGGAGTGTTTATTTTCTTGAGACTGTCATAATAGACTCCAAAATTCCCATAAAACTCAACTCTAAAGGGCAGATTAGCCCATTTAGCACCTCTAGACAGTATTTTCCACATGAGACGAGTCTTAAGTGCAGTTCTGCTGGTGGCAAGACTTCCACACGGGACCGGCCACATCTTTAGTCACTCCTTATTTCTGCTCTGTGATCTTGCACTTAGAGGCACCCCTTGTAAAAGCAGCAGTCGCAGGGAGGTCGCCCTGACATCTTTATCATAATTGCCCTAAATACCCCCATTAGAGAAGCTAGCCAGTATCCTCAATAACACTAGTCATCCCTGGTAGCACTGGTGCATCTAATTGCCTGGGCCCTTTTTGAAAGATTGCCTGACATCAGCACGGTTCCCTATGGGCTGGCCCTCTTCATTCTCTGCCCAGCAAAGCATATCGTTATCGCAGCCAGCAAAGAGACCTGGCCTCCCTGCTCCTGGATAATTAACTGTCTGGCTTAACTGCATAATGGAAAAAGGAACATTGGAGGTATGGTAGTTATTCAAGCAGGCCTTGGAGAGGAGAGGCATAAGACAATACTGGGGTCATCCATGCTCACCATTTTTCAGTGGGATGGGCGATAATGTAGAAGGATAGAAAGTCATATTGGAGGCAGAAGCTGGTTATGGAGGATTGGTTTCATATGATAATTAGACCCATATGCTAATTGCTGAGGAAGCTTGATGAATTCTTGCAGCCTAGCTCTCCACTCCAGTGCTGGCTCTGCTATCAGCTGTCCCCAACGTCCCCCACTTCAAAGGCTTGATCCATCTTTACATAGCACTACATTCACTCTGTCTCTTTCGGCATTACAACAACAGTCCCCCCTCCACCACTCCCCTCCGCCAAAGACAAAAAAAAATTATGAAAAAAAAAAAGACAAGAACAGCAACAGCAGGAGGGGGAAGTAAAGGGGCGTCTGCCGTAGTTTGACATTTACAAGTCTCTTAGTGAAATGTATGATGCACATCCTCGCGAGTGTGTGCGCGCAAGTGTAATTAGAACACGGCAGGCATGTGTTTGTCTTTGTGTTGTTGTATGGTGGAGGTATCAAGGACAAGTGCATTAATGAGCACCTGGAGAGGAACAGCTTGTGTCTCCTGGTTAGTGTGACCGCGAGCAGGGCACAGACTCCTTCACTGACTCAGATGACGTGACTGATGGAGGGGGAGGTTTCTGTCAGATCTGGGGCACTCCCAGGAGCTGCAGTTTGTCTCGGCTGACAACAACGCTCACCAAAGGGGCCCCCAACCCACACATCAGCTGGAAAGGCAGGAGAGGACGACGTCCTTCTCTCTGTACTTAAAGACCTACAGTTCCTCCTTTATTACAATCTTATAGTTTTTCCTAAACGTGCGCCTTGTCTAAGTAGTCTTTTAATTCCTGAAAGTATGACATGAAGAGAAACACTGTCAGCAACAACATTTTCAAACCTTTATGCGTGTAATTGTTTAAAGTCCTTCTTCGGTCATGATTTACCCCCTAAAAAGTGTATCAAAGTTACGTCCTTTAGAAGTTTTTCAATGAAAATTGTCCCGCCGTAACTGATGTCTTAGTTGTAGCTCTGCACCGATGCTTCCTCTAGAACACATGGACGTACATTGTCCCCGCCTTACTCTCTGCTCATGGCAGCTCAAGCACACCAGCTTACCAGCAACTCTGCTCAGACACTGCAACACTACTCTGCACTGCGCAATGGCATGTTGCAATACTGGAGTAATTCAGGCATACATGTATGAGCTGGAAAGTGATTCAGAAGAAGAATAATGATGCGGAAAGTCCCACCCTGCAGGTTGACGGGACTGTTTGTTACGTATGAAAACCAGGAAGTCTGAATCTTTGGTCTTGAGACATCTCGCTTCAGTTTGAGGGACACATTGCTCAACCATAGTGTCGACTGCTTATTTTGCTCATGATTTGTCACCATATGGACACGTTGATAAGGTAAATTAGCTTGATTTTTATTTTTTTATTTATTTATTTTTACCAAAGGGGGTCTTTGAAAAGGAAAAGTCTTACAAGCTAAACAAATCTCATCTAAATATATGATACAGTATCTAAACAAATCAATCAAATCAAATCAAGTTTATTGTCATTTTGCTGTACATACACAGCAGTACAGGCAAGATAAAAGAGCATTTCTTCAGGATCCAAGAACTTAAAGCAGTTTAAATAGATAAACAGATGGCTTGTTTGCAAACTGTTCATATATTCAATGTTTTTTTGGGGGGTATTGTACCTCATCAGTTTGGTTTTTTGGTGTGCAGCCATCAAAAATCCAACCACATCCACATGATAAATCTGGTCAAATAAGGATAACATAAATTATGCATCAAATGTTATATTGATATTTTCTGGATGGCAAAAGAACAAAGGGATAGAGTCACATCCTCAGTTACATATGGATTGAACAGGATGCATATGGGTCCAGAGAATGTAGGAGAGCAGCAGGAGTTTGGCTTCGCTTTAAAGTGTGCTGAGGTTCAGAGTATTGAAAAAAAAAAAAGAGCATACAGGGTCATCCCTGCCGCTTAACAGTCAAAACACTGTGTCCGTGTTGTGACATTGATAACAACTGTCTTATTAGATTTGTGGTATTACATTGCACTGCTAACAGAACCACATTTACACTGTTAATAGCATTACATTCACTCTAGTATCTCACATCCTCATCAGTGCAAAACACAACAATGGTCTATCTTGTTCCCTGCTGTTGTTCTTAGATAAAAGACATAAATCTGCAAACAACCAGAACAAAATGTCCCAAACAGATTGACTTCATCCTGGATTCGCTACAATGCAGAGAATGAACAAACCACTAATTTAGAACCCCTCACTAGTGTTAAAATGGTCTCTCATTCAACCAAGACGCTCGATGCGGCTTATAACATCATTATGGACCTTGAAAACAGCAGCTGACAAAATATGTTCTGGCCATTTCATTCATCACCTACTCTTCATCAGCAGATTGGGTTTTTGCTCGTTGATTACCTGTTCTTTTTTTCCCCCCTAAGTGCTTCTTGTCAATGCTAAAAGTGGTTAGGAGAAGAAAAGAAGGAAACTTGAGTATCTGCTATTGCATGGCAACTGGGCAAATTCAATCTGCCAATGATTGATGATCATGTGATGTGACCGAAATGTCCAGAACAACTACTTCTTGTCCTTGTAGCGAGATGATTTTGTCGACAACAAGATATTTGACCCGGCTAATTAGACGGGAGATGGAACAAGAATAATGACAGGTTTGTAATAAACAAATTCTCAGTCATTTTGTCTGCTCATCATACTTTGCTGTACTCGCCTTGAAGTTTTACAAGTTCAAGTGTGTGATGGGTTTTCCGTGTTCCAGTCTGCTGGTAACAGAGCTGCCGGTTTTAGTACAATGGCCCTCTACAGCAGTTTTAAACACATGATACTCATTATTGTAGAGCATCTCTTTGACGAGAAAACGGAGCTTGGAAAATTGGAACAGTGCACCGAACAGTCGTTCTGTGACTTCTTATTGCCTGGTTATTATTTCTAATGGCTTTAAAGCACTAAAAGACAGCAGAAGATGTTAAGTCTGTGCTCTGTTTTAACCTGAGATGGGCCTTTGAAGTAAATTCTCCAAGCATGCTCAGATTTTTTTTTCGAGGTGTGTTTGTAATGAACCGAATCTGCGAAGAAATTCCAGACTTAATAAGTTTATCAATACGTTACTTCCTCTGGGCAGTTTTCTCTGTTGAAAATCCCCAGTCAAGCATATGGGGACATTTATGCTCGTGTTACAGCTGCCCATGTTTACCATCCTGCACCTCAGGCTCTTTCCACTGAGAGAAAGACGCTGGCTTGGGTGCAGCTCTGCAAATCCCACCTGGATGTGGCATTTGTAATAAACAACCTAGGGGCATGGCTGCCACCCTTTCTTTTCACTCCCAGCGCTCCTCCTCAAGCCCCTTCAACACTGTTCACAGGTTCCCCGAACAACCTCTAATTTGTCTCTTGATTGGTGGCGTATAAATTGCGGTGTGTTGTCTCCCAAGTAACTCCACTGTTAACACGTGACACAGCTGCTTCCTGCATGCTCGCCCTTTCTTTTTTTTGTGTCTTTCGCATAGACTCACTCTTCGTCGCTGTGATAACGCATGAGAGGAAAGATATAGTTATTCGGGGAATTATCTGCCTCATTGGTGCCATATCTCATCCCATGCTTTTGTGCCAAATGGCCGTGTTTCCATGGAGCCTGCGTGTGTTTACTGTGACGTGCCATGGCAGGGCCCTTTCTGGTACAGAGGGACTTAGTGCACAGCAGTGGAGGGTATTTCAGTCCCCGTCTGGAGTTTTGGGGCTTACTTCTCCAGCTCTCCTCTCTTCTCCCACCTGCTCTCCTTGCTGTTGCTTCACTGGGTGCCTGTGTGGCTGTGTGCTGGTGCTCCTGGCCTTGTTCTTAGACAGACAAGGCTAATTGAAAGGGAAGGCTGCTCTCTGCTGATCAGCTCTGACAGCAGTGTCTTGCCAGAGGTGGGTGTGCCACCCCATGCTGAGAGTTTTCACAGCAAAATAACAGTGCTGTCGTGAAAAACACAGCCCGTGCCACGACTACCCAGGCAGGTTGCCAAAGGAGCCAGATGAATTTTGCGGACAGAAGAAAGAGGGGAAACCCACTTTGTCTGCTTTACGACTTTAGGGAAGAGAGCCGTGCCAGCTTTTAGTGAAAATCTAACAGGCATTCTGTCATTTTATTCAGGGTTAGAATTAAATGAAATCACATCTTTTTTAAAGAATGCAACAGCTAATGATCATGTTTGATCACAGATGTACTGTCTCTCATTGGTTTTGCCTTCCAGTGTTACAGCCCAAAGGGTTCAGCCAAAATGAAATATTCAGTGATTAACAACTTCAACCCCTTGTCCTCAAAAGTCCCCTGAAGTTAGAGCAAAAATGGAAATTGAAGGTAACAGAGACAATAAAGAATTTCCTCTGGATCAGAAGTTTGAAATGCATCTTATAAATATCTTCATGTTGCGCACCTGTTTGCATGTGTTTGGACATGTGATGCTGTAAATATATCACGACTACAATGATCATTTTTGCATGAACTATGCTTTAAAGCCATGATTTGATTGCCTCAACCGAGCAGATCATTTTCATTTGCTCCAGGATCTTCCTACCACCTCCTCTAACTTTTGTGATGTGTCTTAGTCTGCTTGCAGGTCCAACACAGTGCCCATATCAGAGGTGCTGCCATCCAGTGTGACTTAATACACCAGGACAGGTTGGGACCCCTCAGCAGGCCCACAGTGGACAGCTGTGATTACTGCTGACAATAATTTATGGTCCCCTCTGATTGAAAACATGAGAGCTGGAGATAGAAGGATAGTGCGGAGTCAAGGCACCACCTTAAGATATAAAACTGAGGCCGCAGCTGCTGTCAGAAGCAGGACTCCTGCCAAGCTCTGCAGGCCTTCTGCCCATCCAGACAAACACAAGCTCTCATTTTGCTCTCTTTTCTCTTCCTTTATATTTTCCTTCCTCCCTTTCTTTGCCTAGTCTCAGCCCTCCTCTGCATTGTTTCCCACAGAAGACTCTTACATTTTGTCCTCTGATTTTCACTTAATGCAATTTTCCACTGAACGTTCATCTTAGAAAAGTGTAATCAAATCAACAGCTAACTTTGTCATACTAAAAAGGGTAAAAAATGCCAAATAATGCACAGACGTGGTAGAAAAATGCATAAAGAAAAAACAATAAGGACGCTCTGTGAAGGAAATTGAACCAAAACGTCGTATTGAGGAATGCTGTTTGCAGTAATTGTGCAAAATGAAAGAGGAACAAGTACTTATCCACCCTGGCTGATCAGGTGTCTCTGCTGTGAGCTTTTCCAGCCCTGAGATTACCCCACTAATCCTAACAATAGCACTGTGCAGCTGGTTTGAACAACTATCTGCACCATTGTTTATGTTGTCATCCCTGCTGGATTGTACTCATGAGGAGTAGCCTAACCATTTTAGTGGATTTGCATTTACTATTTCAATGCCATATCCAGGGATGAGG